ATAGTCAAAATCTCTATTGTTGGCCAAATTTATATAGTTTCTATCGTATATCGTTTATATCGCCCACGCCTACTCCAGACTTTGATTCGGATGCTCTTGGAGTAATTTTGGAAGGTCGGTCACTCCTGGCACGGCTCAGCTCTGTTCCAGGTTTTCTCCATGTGTAGATAACGGCTCTCACTGTGGTTCACTGAACTTCTTTGTAAGTGATTTCTGACTCAGCAGGTCTGGCTGAACCAGACCTGGGTGTGGCAGTGAAACTCAGCTTTACAGAAATGTGGTTAATCACAGTTACTTTTTCCACACAGGGAAGGTAGGTCGGGATAACCTTTTTTAAATAAAGTTATCTTAAAAAAAGTTGTTTGCTTCAAAGCACAGGCTGCTTGAAACCAAATCAGGAACATCTTTTCAAAAAGTCTTAATTCGGTTCTTCAATCGGGATCCTCAGTTAGTTCTAGAAAAATCCAGATTTCTGTTTCAGTTTGGAGCAAAAGAGACGTCCAAATTTGTGAGTGTGGTTGATTATTTTTCAACAGTTTCTGCTTCTCCAGCGCTGGGAGAACCGCCATCACGAACTAACCCGAAGAGTCTGAAACAACAATGAGGTCTGGAGCGGCTGAACAAGTGTTTGATATAAGTGAGTAAATGTCCAAAGGTCACAGTGGGAATCCACAGAGGTTCAGTCCTGAAAAGAAAAGTACAGCAATGACATATTTCTTATTTGAAGGATAATTGTTTCTACGAGAACACGATGAGGGTGAAGTCAAAGCGCTGAGACCAAGACGTTGGTTTTCGGTTTGAGATTTCTCCATAAATATAAAAATAGAGACACTCGTTCGTCCTGTCTTCCCTCCTTAGCTGAAGAAGTCTTTGGAAATGGCTTCCACAAAGTTGGGGGCGGACATGAGGATCCCGATGGTGCAGAGGATGGTGAAGAGCGAGAACGCCACCAGGCAGAGCCGGTCGATCACCGCCGCGGCGAACTTCCACTCGCTGCAGACCGTCTCCTCCTCGTCTTGGCCGCGGAAACGCCCGGCGATGTATCTCACCTCCTCCAGGATCTGGTTCAGCTCCGTCTCCAAGGCCGAACCCCCAGCTGCTCC